CAGTGTACAGTTGTTGGCAGTTTATAATAATAACAATTAATAATAGTATTATTATTACCTTGACAATAACTGTAGATTCATTTGATAAATGGTTGGATATAGCACTGGCTGGAGACGGCCACATCCTTGTCAACTGAATAAGGTCATACACGAATCCTTCTCGAGGTCAGCGTTTGACGTAGCCTACAGTAAACTCTGGCACCATAACTGCTCATCTCCCATTATCTTATCCATGATTCGCTGGCTGATCAGTTTCCAGGAATACCTCCCTTGACTGATGTTAGAACGGCCTTGTTTTGTTCTTTCAGTCTGGAAAAAATGCATGAAAATGCATTTAAATCATTTTAACTGCTAGAAAGTTGCCAAATGATCTGGTCTTTTCAAGGCATGATGGGCTGTTCTGGTGTGTTTTAGTGGGCGTCTGTGCAAATGCACTTGCAAATGTCATATGTAATGCTGTAATGTAATGTCAATGCTGCTATACATCTTAAAATTATGTTTCATTTTAGAGAGATTAGAAGCCTTTTCAAGAGACATAAAAGAAAGTGAAAGAAAGGGAACATAAAACACTGCTGTGATCTCCTTTCTATGGACTTCCCACTGCTTTAATAGTTTTGTGCGACAGCAACGCTCCCTGTGAACAGAATCGACTTGCTTTTGTGTGAAGGCTTGATGTCTATGAAGCTGAGGATCACAGAAGGTTGTTTCCCCCCTCAAACTTATCTTTTTTCTTCTTTTGATACACTCCTTTTGTCACAAATTTTGCATTTTGCCGAGATTTCATCATTTTTAGAAAAGTGAAGTCACACTTTGGACCGCCGACGTAAGCTACTCATGTTGGACCCGCGCGGTTATGCCAACACTTCCGGTAGACGCTTCTTCGTTGGTGTTGTTCAGCGGTTTCTTCTTCCGTTCAGCAAACTGTGAATATCGAAACTAGGAATCGAAATTTTAACTTTGAACGATTCTGGGAAAAACTAAAAGTTAGTCCCGGTTCCAATCGATACTTGATTCTCGATACTCAACGCAAGCTGTAATGCATGGGTTTCTCAGTGTTCAGTTCCATGTATATTATTCAATTGGTCACTGCCAGAATAAGATAGTAGAATAATACTTTTTTTTCTAGTTTATTGTCAGGGGAATTATTTTCTAATTGGCCATTTGCGGATTCAAATGCTTGGTTAATTATTTTTTGCATTCGAGCCACAGCCATATAAGCCTGTAGCCCAAGACTGGTTGCCCACTGAAGCTAAGCAGGGTTCCTGGATGGGAGACCTAAAACTAACTAGTTTGCTGCTGTAAGAGGTGTTCGAGAGGTAGTGCTGGGCGGTTTGACCAAAAATCGATATGACATTTTTTTGTTTTATTTTTCAGAATTAAGCCGGTTTCCAGTTTATGACACTTTTTTTGCTATGCATGATCAGGTGTTCAAAGCATTTTCTTCTGGTTGAGAGAAGAATTACTGCAATAAATTGACTCAGGATGGTCTATTTTATTGTCATTAGTTACTATTGTAGAATAGAATAGCGCCCAGTATAACCTAAAATTATAGCCATTAAAAATCCCATGGCACTTCTGGTAAAGAGGATGAGTGAAACCCTGGTATCCTTCCTTGCCAAATTCTCTCCATTGGCCTTTATCAACCATGGCCTCCCAATAATTCCCATCCACTGAATTGTCTCTATTACTGATTACCCCTAACTAACTGCTTGGTCATACTAGTTCTTAAGGCACAGTCTTAACACAATGGCTGACCCCTGACAACAAAGAAGAACATTCCGAAGATCAACGTGTATGGGCTCTATGCACGGCGGTATTTCCTGCGAAGGATTAAGGATGCTCGATAGCTTCCGCCAATCATAGAGTCCAATGCAATACCGAGAATGTATAATGAATTTTATACTCCATGGCTATGGTAAAGAAACCTTAGTAACAAAAACCGACAAAACAGACACCCCTTGTTGTGTTTATGCTTCTTTTTAAAATTATATGAAATAAACATAACTATATATAAAATTACATCTAAACGTATAAAAGTTTCATTTCAAAGACGGGAGGACAGTAAATTTTGAAGACTCTGCCATAATCCCGTTTTCTTAAGTTTTCCTCTGCTTTAATCTCCCCAACCGGAACTTGCGGAACTTATGCGTGCATATAGCCCATTCAGTTCTAAGATTTGATGCCATTTATCTTTGCAAACTTTGGCAAATCCAGCAACTGGATCTTCCTTGCATGTTGTCCGTAAATACAGCCAATCAGATTTTGAGAAGGCTCTTTATTGCAATTTTAGCATACAATATGGATTTCGCAATGCAATGCAGTGTTGTATGTAGGGAAGATCCCTCTTTTGGAGTTGTAGCCTTCAACTTTTTTGGTTACAAGTCCAAATATTACCATTAGGCTACACTACCACCATCTGGAGCCTGTCACTGTTTTGAAGAACTCAACAGTAACCTTGACAGCTGGCCAGCTGGACCAGTTATGTTCATTTAAATTTAATGAAGGCATTGTTCAGTTCAGGTCTACCTTGGTCTCAGAAATGCATTACATCACAGAAGGAGGAGGGAAATCAGCCATTAACCTTGTTTTGTTCTCTGAGTTGGGTAGCAATTGATTTCATTAAATCTCAGCAGGTGATTTTCCTCATCACTGATTGTGAAGTTGGGGGCTCAAGCTCTATTTCGACAGATTTGTAACACATGGAGAAATCGATTCAGCAGAAGGGATTTCATTGGCATTTCTTGATGGTTGTTGGTGCCGGAGAGACACAAAGCAGAAAGCACACTTATTTAGTGTGTGTTGGCCCATGTACTCACATCTGTGTTTGTGTATGTTGCTAAGCTGCTACCTCCACAGGTTGCAGACTCATTAGGTCACTGTTTGCTAGTGCGACCTCATGAGAGATTGCGGTTGCATTGGTGCTGAGTTTAAGTCGGCTGCATTCCTGACGTACAATCGTGATGAATAGGTTTGACGGTTACGTTCATTCTTCCTGAAGTCCCATTATGAAATCAGGCAGCTCTTCTTCCATTTCTCTCTGTGTGGTTGAATGCATTTCAGAGTTTGTTTTTGTGTTTAATGGCGCTAAGAGCTTATTTGAAACGGATTCTCTACTGGAAAATGCCTGAACGCTTAACGTAATTACATAACGGATGGTTGCGTAGTTATGGATGGGAGTTTCCAAATATGAATTTCCAAGCGTGGCTATTATGTCGTATATTAGACTGTAATGGCGGCTTTAATCTTGAAGCGAACAGATCCTTTCTTAGATGACCGAACAGTCAGAGTTGAGTTTTCATGTTTGTGTCTTAGAGATTTACAGTAGCATGTCAGATTGATGTTTATCCAGTGATGTAAAAGCTAAAAGTAAAAGCTTTTCCATTCTCATTCAGTCAATCTCTCGCACCTTGCGAGTGGGGCAGAGGATCAACACAATTTTCGGACAATTGCCATCCAAGTCTGAGATAACTCCTATGTTTAGATGCAAAATTAAGTGAAATAAAGCATTTTAGATGGGGAAAGATTTGAACTTATGTTGTTAAAGCCCCATTACTGCTGCTTTCTAGGGTCACTGGTCATGAGCGATGCTCACCCCATCTTAGTTGATTTGTTTTTGGCACTGTGGACTAGGCTTGCCGCGATAGACGGTGTTGACGGTGTTACCGGTTTTAAGCCCCATCACCGGTGACATCACTTTCCCACCGTGACACCGCGATGTCTTGACTTTTTTTTTTAAAGTATTCGTTTTTGCTAAAATATTTATTTGAATTAATTAAAAATAATAATTTTCAATTATTTAGTTCTGAAGAGAGCATTATAATTAAAAATGAACTGCGCAACGCGTGCCGTAACGTCACAGATCAGCAAGCATCAGGATTCCATTTAGCACGTGTGGAGACGAGAACGAGTCAAATTACAGAAAAGCAAGATAATGGCGGAAGATTTGGTGTCAAAACGCAATGCAAAAGCGCCTGTTTGGCAATATTTTGGCCAATATATATTAATGTTAATAAATGCCAATTTATAGTGTTTTACTTTTTTTTTAGAGTGCTGTCATTCATGTAGGCTAAGGTCCTTTTTAAAGTTTTTATTTTATATTCGTCTCTTTTTATTTGGTTTTATCTTATTTAAACTTTGTTTAATTTATTTAGGCCTATTTTGTTTTCTTATTCGTTAATAAACGTTTAATTTTTTTGGGCCCACAGTTTGCCGATTTTCACTTTTTTCAGCCTATGCATGGGGTTATTTTTATTCGTTTGTTATGCTAATAAAAGTTCTGTCTATATTTTATTCGTTTATTATTCTAATAAAAGTGCTGTCTAAATAAAAGTTTATTGTCAGCGAGTTGTTTTTTTTTTTTTTTTTTTTTTTGTCCATTCCAGCAATTGACGCTGAATTGCAATTGACGCTTATTTCGAAAGTGAAAGTATGTCATTTATGTAGGCTAAGGTCCGTTTTGAAGTTTTTATTTTATATTCGTCTCTTTTTAATTGGTTTTATCTCATTTAAACTTTGTGTAATTTATTTAGGCCTATTTTATTTTCTTATTCGTTAATAAACGTTTTATGGTTCTTATTTGTTTGGGCCCACATTTTGCCGATTTTTACTTTTTTCAGCCTATGCATGGGGTTATTTTTTTTCGTTCGTTATGCTAATAAAAGTCTATAAATAAAAGTTTTATTATCAGCAAGTTTTTTTTTTTTTTTTTTTTTTTTTTGTCCATTCAAGCAATTGACGCTTATTTCGAAAGTGAAAGTATAACGCGCACGCATTTAAAAGCTATTTAACCCCCCGCCCTGCCCTCCACGGTGACACCGGGATTACCGGTGTTGTCACACGTCGATTAACCGGTGGGAAATTTTCCTCACCGCGGCAACCCTACTGTGGACCACTCGCTTTCTCCTGTTGTGCTTGGTTGACTTGATTGTTTCCGTTCAGTTTCTAAAATCACAAACCAGCTGGAAAACAATTGATTTATGTGACTTTTTTTCTTCTTTCAGGAGCTCTCTAGTTGTGGCTGGAACAAAAAGGAGAAGCACAGTTCAGCGCCGAACGCTGTGGCCTTCACACGACGCTTTAACCAGGTAAACCAAAGACACTTTTTGATTTTGTCCCCTTACTTTGATACTTACAATTTTAGGGATTAACTGTAGACTTCCAGGTAAGTCTTTCTTCAGTCGAAAAGAAATTAAGGTTTTTGATGAAAACATTCCAGGATTTTTCTCCATATAATGGACTTCATTGGGAACCAAACTGTTCAAGGTTCAAAAGACACTTTCAGTACAAACTGCAAACTGTTCAAAGGGCTTTAAAGTATTTCAGATGATAAGGGTTTTATCAAGAGAAACGATCGCTCATTTAATAAGTAAATAACAAAGTTTACGTTTTTTAAGCTCAAATGCTCGCCTTGCTCTGTACTGTCATGCACGTTCGTGACTCTCCTGTTTGAACTCGTTTATTAAAATGAACAAATCTTTTGTCATGTCATTTGGTTCATTCAACGAACGAAATGAATGAGTTCTTCACTCTCCTGTTTGAACTTGTTTAATAAATGAACAAATCTTTTGTCATGTCATTTGGTTCACTCAACGAACGAAATGAACGAGTTGACTCTGGAAAAGATTCTTTCATTTTAATGAACGAGTTCGAACAGGAGAGTCACGAAGGCGCATCACAGAACAGAGCAAGGCAACCATTTGAGCTTATAAATCTTAAACTTTGTTATTTATATTTTAAATGAGCGATAGTTTCGCTTGATAAGACCCTTTTTCATTGTCTGAAATCGTTTAAAGCCCTTTGAACAGTTTGCGGTTTGCACTGAAAGTGTCTTTTGGACCTTGAACAGTTTGGTTCCCATTGAAGTCCACAATATGGAGAAAAATCCTGGAATGGTTTCATCAAAAACCTTAGTTTCTTTTCGACTGAAGAAAGAAAGACATGGACATCTTTGATGACATGGGGGTGAGTAAATTATCAGAGAAAAGAAAGTTTTTTTTTAAAGTGAACTACTCCTTTAAGCCTTTGGCAAGGGTCAATGGAGTGTGCATTGTAGTCATGTATCGACTAGCTAAATGAACATGTCGACAGTTAAATAACATTTTATTTTTTTCTGACAATGAATAAACTGTAAAAAAAGATTTGAAGAAACTTCAAGACTAGGGAAAAATAAGGCAAAAATCTTAATATTGTGAAATATTAGGTAACACTTTACATAGGGTTCATTAGTTAACATTAGTTAATGTATACACTAACATGAGGTAACCATGAGCAATACATTTGTTACTGTATTTGTAATCTTTGTTAATGGTAGTTAATAACAATACAGCTGTTCCTTGTTTGTTCATGGTAGTTCACAGTGCATTAACTAATAGTAACAAAATTTTAATGTCGAAATTAACATTAACAAAGATTAATTGATGATGTATAAGTGCATTTCACTTAGGGGTGGGCAATATGGAAAAAATATTATATCACAATTTTTTTAAGAAAATCACGATCACGATTTTTTATCACGATTCTTTTTTACAATTTGGTTTTAATATTTTGCAAGTGGCTGTTCATTACAGCCAAACTAATGTTAAAAACAAATCCTTAGGTAACAAAAGAAAAAAGAAAGGCATACATTTAGGCCAGTGGCGAAGATAAAAATCTTTGTCATTATTTTCTTTGTTATTAAAAAAATTAGACAAGATAAACATTACCCAAATTAATATTCAAATTAAATAAATAGTGCTTTATTTTTTCAGATGCAGTAGGTGTATTTAGCAGTAGCATTGAAGAAAGTAATTAAATTAACAAATATGAAATGAAAACACTACATAGACTTCACTGAATAAATTGATTCTTATTAAAGCTACTAATAAAGTTCTCAGTCAGTGAGTGATTTTCTCCTTGTGTTTTTTTTTTTTATTAACACTAAAGGGATAGTTCCCTCAAAAATGAAAATGGTCTTCATTTTCAAGATGTTTTAAACCCGAATAAGTTTCTTTCTTCTGTTGAAAATAAAAGTTATTTTGAATAATGTGAGTTTTTTTTTTTTTTTTTTTTTTTTTTTTTTTTTTACTTTTTTTTAAACGTTTTTTGTAACAATGCAAACTTATTACGGTCACTTTTGATCAATTTATTGTGTCCTTGCTTAATAAAAGTATACACTTTTTATTATTGTTTTTTTTCTTACTGTATCTAATATTACGTCTCTAATTTTTCTAACCAAAATGATACTCGGATAGCTCTTTGGTCTGCTGGTTTTACTACGGCAAGGAACATGTTTGTTTATTCTGTGGCTACATGCATTCAAGAGTTGGTTCGTTTCAAATGAAATGAGTGTAAATATTTCAAAGGGAAAATAAGGTTTCCAAGGGATTTTTGTGTTAAAGGGATTAGGCATCAAAGTGCAGAAAAGGGTTGGTCGGGTTTAGCGTTCAGGTCACGAGTGGTGCAGGCCTCCGTAGTGGCTCAACTTCCCAACCTGGCATGCTTGTAATGTGCTGGCTGATCATTAGCGCCTGTGTTTGCCAATGAGTGTGTTTCTGGCCTAAGTCGCTTGACTTTATTGCCTTGGATTGGCTAGGATGGAAAATTACGTCGCTGTCAAGGTTCTTGTTAACAGAATTTGGACTCGTTGCTAACACAACACACTTTGCATAAATGTGATGTCACAGCGACTTTCAGGGGAAACTGGACATGCACTGACATTTTGGCTCTAATGTGAGCAGGAGATTGGATGTTGAGGTTATCGCTGCTCTGAGGTCTGAGTAAAGATGTTGGAAACACACCGGTGTTGGGAAACACCGACTTGAACCAGTTGGCCTTTGAAGAAATATGTGGCCCCCTCTGAGTGTGTGCAATCGTTGCTTCATTATTGGCAGAAGCTGACAGTGTGTAACCAGAAGGGAATTATCATTGAATAAAGTTTATAAGCAAAGCAGAAGTTGTTTCTTACACCTCAAAATCTTCCCGACTCTCTTCCCTGATAATATGGCCAGCACTGTAATAAATATGAGAAAATCATCGAGGAATTTGTGTTCTGTGGAAATTTTTCTCAATGTACATCCTCAAAATGGCTAAAACGGCTGTTCAGGAACCCACACGTGACGCACTCGCCTGCCAACACAAATGTACTTTCTGAAGGATGATGCTTGCATAGGCGAGAACAGACCTGCAAAGTTAGCTGGAATCTAATTTCAACTAACAGCAAACTGTGTTTGTTTATATGTGAGATTATATTATATATTCATGTCTGTGTGGTTTTTGTTACACCAGTAGTTTTGTTATATTTCATTAGTAAGCTGATCATCTGTGGATTTGTCATGTAATTGTTAGTTGATAGTTCATCATGTAAATTATGGCTTAGTCATCTTTTAGTAGTTATTTAGCACATATCTACATGACTTTCAGTATTAAAATAACTTGCTAGAATCACTACTGAATCGCTACATTATATTTCTCAGCAATGAATGGGTTACGTCGCTATTTTGAAGTAAATAAAGTCACAGCTTCATGAGTAGAGAGAGAAAGACGCAGGTACTATGGTACTATGGTACTTTTCTTGTCCCTGGATGAAATAATAAAATCTAAAAAACATTTCTTCTTTTTTGGTTTTGTCAGACTTACTTCACCCTAAGGAGAATTTATAAAAAAATTATCATGGCTCAATCATTCTTTTTATTATATAATATGAGGCCTTTTATGCATGATTTTTACTGTTTTCCCCCTGTCCCTAAGCCAGAATTTGTACCTTCAACCTCGCTTAATTCTAAATTAAATATTTAAATAATGTAGATTTTAAGTACAAATTATAAAATAATGTCTATAGACCCCTTCAATGTTTGTACACATTGGAATCCTCTGTTGGGTGCGCGCGCAGCATGGGGTCAGAAAAATGGCGCGGCTATAGACCGGCATGATATTGTGTCAAAATCGGTTTTATACAGCGATATAAGCGATGACTTTTGTGTGTTAAAAGCGGAGGTTTTACCGAGCCAGCGCCAGGGGAAAAAGACCTTTATGTACAAAGCCTGGATCGTGATCAACAAGCGGGAAGGCTACATCCATACTGCAAATTGCACCTGCATGGCAGGGTAACGTTAATTATTTATCATATTGGAGACGGATGCACTGTAGACTAATTGACTTGATGGTTATATTTCCCTAGAAAACTGTCACGACTAGGCTACTAATCACTTACCCAGCATCCGTCACCTTTCCTCCAGGGTCATTCTTGCTAAACTAAACGTGTGTCTGTCATTTCACCAATTATCGCTGAGATGCGTGGAAATCGCGTCAGTGCGTGATGTAAAAAAACAAAACAAAAAAAAAAAAACATAAAAAAAAACTCATTAAGACACAACACACGGTTAGAACAAGCATGCACAGTGTACATAGCCTATGTAAAAAATACATAAAACAAAAATCATAGTAGGCATGTTAGTATTTATCGTTAGTATTTATCGCAAGTTAGTATTTATCGACGCAACAAGTAGGCATGTCGACGAGAAATTCTCTGGTTGCTGGTTTAAACTATGGTTACAGCACGATGGAATGAACTTTTCTGACCCCGACATGCGCACTGCGCACCACAATTTTTTCTGTGACGTCAACCGTTAAGGGGTGCATTTCAATTATACATATTATATATTGTAATATTTATTCACATTTTCTTATATTTCCTTGTCCCTTGGGTTCACTGTCATTTCCGCCACATTGTACAAAATAGAATCCTGGGATCATTGTTTTAGGTTTGAATACTTAGTAACCATAGCAATAGAAACTCCACAGTGAACACGTGGCTGGGTGAAAGGGTGATCTCTTTAGAGGGTAACGAAAAGACAAAAAATCAAGGTAAATATGACTAAAACTGAGAATATGTTAATTGGCCGTCATTTCCAAACGGCTCATATTTCACATGGACGTAAAAATAAATGGATACATTTAATTTAATAATGTGTAATTTGTGTATATTTAATGCTAACTGTAAAACTAATATTAACAGGCTAACATAGCATGATATTTTAGTGGAAAAGGGGGGAAATGTCATTTCCGCCACAGTCATTTCCACCACGGTGTTCATTGTGGTGGTAAAGACAGGCTGTGGTGGAAATGACATTGTTCGGGCTAAACAGCAAATTATTTTGGGCTATACTAAAACGTTAATGTAAAAACAAAAAAACAAACAATTAATTAAGTTAAGGTAGTAAGATATATTTTATTATTTATTATTTCTACAATATTTTTGGTAAATAAGAGACCTTGGGCGTTTTCTTGGGCTGTCAGATAAAAATGCCTATATAATATATATATATATATATATATATAAATATTATTCAATACAAATCATCACACCCAACTTAAGGGATGGTTTATAGACAGATTGAGAAACCAACTGATACTAAAAAACTGTTTGTAGAAATGTTTTTTATTTTCTGAAACTGTCTAGCTCAAAGAGTACCATAGTTGAAGAATCACCCTGGTACGAATCTCACCTCTCTCGATAAATAATAAAAAATAAATGCTATAATTCTAGATTTGTTAACCTAATTCTCAGGGGGTGTTCAGCAGTTTAATCAGTTATATTTGGTTCAGTTGTACTGTGTTGTTCACTGTGATTATGTACAATGAAATGTTAATGTCTGTATCATTATAAACACTGGAAGTTGCTCTCTCCGTAAATATGTTTTCCAATTTTCATTTTTTTTTTCTCTCCGGTTAGACCCCATACACCCCACTTCAAAGACTCGCACACAAACTGTTTTAGCCAACAAATTGGTCCGTCACTCACAAATATGGATTGCATTTATATATCTCCTCAATGTAGGAAATAAAAGAAGCAAACTCGGGCAAAAAAACACATGCACACACAGACAGACCTTACAGATTACCCACTAACAGATGTTCAAAATGAGGCACATATGGTTATATTCTGCCAGGGAAATCTGCATAAAGTCTGTTGGCTTTATATATATATAATGAAAGAAGTGTGGAGATGGAATTCTCTAATTTAGTATGTGGGAACAAGTTTTACATATAGAGGCTCAAAATCAGACAAAAACACATATTTCCTTGTGTGTAATGCAGGTTCAGGTGTGTGTGTGTGTGTGTGAGTTTCTGCGCTGTGCTTGTGTGTTTGCAGTGCTGTGCTGCCTTTTCATTAGTCATTAGATTTCAATCGTTTCCACTGGTTTGAGGCATTCGGGCTTTATCCAGAGATGCTGCGATCCAATCTCGCAACAACAAACGCGGGAACACACAGCAGGGGAGATGGTGAAACAATGACTTCATTGTGTGTGTGTCCCAGTATCAGACATGTGGGAAAGTACGGGGGGAGAGGAAGGGACTGGAAAATCAACAGGAGAAATGGAAATGGGGGCATGAGGTTGGCAGGGGTTGGTCGAGATGAAGAGTGATGTTCCAACAATCCATGTCTGCAATTACATAACGTCTGAACCTTAAATAATGATGTCTCTTCTCCTCCTCCTCTCTTATTTTCCTTTATTTGCTTCTTGCTTCGGTTCTTTTCTCCTCTCGTTCACGTCTTGTCTTGTCTTAATTCATATCAACCTCTTGTTTTTCTTGTCTCCTTTTAGTCAGTTCTCTTGTATTCTTGTCTCATCTCCTTTCTTCTAATCTCTTAGTCTATTATTTTCTTGTCTTTCTTCCAGTTTCCAATCTCATCTCCTGTCATCCTCTTCTCCACATGGTCTCCCCTTGTCTCATATGGTCTCTCTTCCTCTGTTCCTCATTCACTTGTCTCACCTCCTTTAATTGCATTTGCTCCTTGTCTCTTTTCCTCATTCATTGTCATCTTGTCCTTTTTTGCATGCTTGTCTTCTCCTCTCATTCTCTTAAAGGGCATATTGCAGGTTAGAGGACCCAACGAGTCAATGCATAGAAAAACAATGTAGGAACTAGATTTTCTTTAAAATATACGTATAAACACGCCACAGAAGCTTCTGCAGTCGTTTTTGTGAGAAAATTTTACTTCCGCGTCTGAAAATGGGCGTGGCGGGCGTGACGCAATGAGCGGGAGAGCGGTCGATTCACACAACAGGAAAACAATGAATCGCAATGACATTTCGGACGCTGAGGAAATACTCGTATGACGGATCAAGCCATAAAGTTATGAGCCTGCTATGCTAAAGAGATCAGGGACAGGCCAGGATAATGTCAGACAGAATGGTCAGAGAAAAATTGAGCTGTGATGTGAGGAGAAACAGTGGAGAACAGGACAGGTGCCTTTTAGGTGAGAGACGTACTTATAGTATACACGTTCGCTAACGATATACACTGTGCTCACAATATTCTACAGATTATTATGATCCTATAACAGGCCAGCAGACATTAGTATGTTTAGGGTAGATTTATTTACTATTAAATGTATAAAAACTTTACTTGAGTATATTTCTATACTAAAAGCATAGGCTATACTCGGGTAAATTTTTAATACATATTTTTCACCTTGGTTATAACATAAACAGAACATTAAAGATTTGAGTATTTAAACAACCAATTTTGTTTTTCAATTACAAGTTTTATTTAGGGCATGACATGACTAAGTTACCTATATAACACTATTTGATGCCATTGGTAGTATACGACGATCAATATTCTTGCTTCGGCATACCATGTTGAACTCCATCATATTGCCGGGATGCTCATTTGATCTGAAGTGAACGCTACACACGACCGTGTTTTCTGAGCCGAGAGGAGAAATCCCGTCTCTTCACCTGCTCAAACCGCACCAGGAACGAAAGATAGGCTATTGCACAGTCACTTTTATTGTAATGGAAACTTGTGGACTCGATCTTGAAGTCCTGACAGGCTGGAGTTTTTGCAATCTCCACAAACACAATAATTTACCATGACGATGATAAATTAAAATGCAAAAACTAACGAAAGCACACTGACTGACGAGCGCTCTCACTGAACACCAGCCTGCTCTCACTGAGCCGAGGCTGCGGCTCCCTGATATGACGTCAAATGATGCGATGTTGAAAAAAAAGCCGTTTTTACTAGCAGTCCAAGAAACGCTCACTTTATCTTCTAAATTAGTGTCCTTATGTTGTTTTAAAACATTTTAAATCCTGCATTAACTTTTCATATGGTATTTTCATACAAGGTTATCTATAAATTTCGATTTTTTTTTTTTTTTTACCTGCAATATGCTCTTTAATTTCTCATCTTGTATTGTCTCTATATTCTCTTGCCTCTGCTATTTCTTCCTGCATCTCTTCTCTTTGGTTCTCATATCAGCTTCTCTCGTTCTTGTATCATCTTATCTTGTCTCCTCTAAATCTTTTTTTTTTGTCTCATTACGTTTATTTTCATTCTTTCTTTCCACTCGTTCTACTCTTGTCTCACCAAGGTTTTTTTCTTCTTCATTTTGTCCCTCAACTTGTCTCTTCTCTTCAAGTCTCATCCATCTACACTACTTGTTTTCTTCTTGTCTCGTCTCTTCTCTTCCTGTTTACTACTTGATGTCAAAACTATTTAACGATAACACCAACAGATGAACAGTTCACAATACTCTCATCTGTTCTATATCAGATGTTTTGCTGTTATAAGCATATAACCCCACTGGTGCAGTGTCTCTGCATATATGCAAAAACTTTGGGTTATGTCAAGTCACATTTATTTATATAGTGCTTTTTACAATACAGATTGTATCAAAGCAGCTTCACAGTGATAATGTACATTTTTATGTACATTTTAATTGTGACAGTACCGAGAAATGTCTTGTCTATGGCAGTATTGATCAGTTATCAATGTCTCTAATGCTTTTGTCTAATGTTAGGTGAGTTTCTGGGTCGTGAGGGAGATTCTTCATGCTCAAACCCTGAAGATCAGAGCAGAAGTTTTGAGCCTCTATATCAGAACAGCAAAGGTAAAAAGTCTCCATACTGCACATATGTGCTTCTACTTAAGTGATTGTATTTGTATGTGTTGTTAAGCTTTTTTCTCTCTTCCTGCAGAAACTATGTGACATGAATAGTCTCCATGCCGTGATGGCGGTAGTATCTGCTTTACAGAGCGCCCCTATCTTCAGGCTCTCCAAGACCTGGGCTGTGAGTTATTTAATATGCTCCATTTGACACATTTTTATATTACTAGCTACATTTTACGGTAACACTTAAAGGGTTAGTTTACCCAAAAATGAAAATTAAGTCATTAATTACTCACCCCCATGCTGTACCAACCCCGTAAGACCTTCGTTCGTCTTCGGACGCACGACGCATGCGCGAGAACTGAACTGAAGTAGTGTAAGGAGATCGCAATTCTCGCGCATGTGTCGTGGAAATCTAAGGAAGTCTCGTTTCTGGCCTACAAGGAAGAAAAGGAATAGTCGAATAAACGCGTTATTTTTGTTTGTTTTTTCGCACAAAAAGTATTCTCGTCGCTTGATAAACATATAGTTGAGCCACGGTAGTCACTTGGGATATTTAAACATTTTCTTCATTGACTTTCTGGGCCGTCAAGAGGCAGTCCCTTAGGAGCCAATGTGGTAGTTATACAGCTCTCAAATTTAATCAAAAATTTTGATCTTTATTTGTGTTCTGAAGACGAACGAAGGTCTTACGGGGTTGGTACAGCATGGGGGTGAGTAATTAATGACTTAATTTTCATTTTTGGGTGAACTAACCCTTTAAAGGCCTTGTGTATAATGCATTTATTCGTAATGTACATTATAATGCATCAATATTTTCATAAAGTTAAAATGTATTACAATATCTGCTGGTTTCTTGTTGCATCTAATATACAGAATATATATATATATATATATATATATATATATATATATATATATAAATCTCAAAGCATTGTGTGTCTGTTTGGTCAGTTGGGTTCTTGGTTTATTCATTATTCTGTCCAACCCAGATGCTGCATGGGCCCAGATTTCTTTCGACTCAGTTTTCAAGTTGTTTACAGGTTGTGAAATTATGCAGGCTTCCAACACACAACTTCAGTTAGTTATTGATGAGTGCTGGAAACTGCTAACATATGAATCACTACAAAACCTTGAGCTGTTACTTTCCAATACTCAGACTGATGAACAACAAGCAACTCTGTTTAGTTTTCCCCCTTTTTAGTCTTTACTGGAATTCAACCATTTCAATTTCCAAACATGACACCCTTCATTTTTTTTTTGCCTTTAGAATTAATTAAAATAGCATAAAAATGTTAAGTGTTTGAATGAAAATTCTCTCTAAGAAGGGAAAGATTAATGTTAACAATATTCTTATGATCTTAACGCTTAATTTTCTATAAAGTTCAATAGACTGCTAATGCTAAAGCTAATACTGAGGTTTTCAAAACATTTGTCTGTTTCTACTATAAAATGGGCCAACTATCTATAAAACTAACACCTGTTGCTTGGGTTTTTAGTTACTTTACAGTGTGTTTACTCACAAATCAATCTGTGGTTGAGCATCTGTGCTTTACTTGGGTTGCTAACATTCATTAGCATAATTAGCATAGTTTTCTTTAGCAGGTTTCCTTCAGAAAAAAAACCCTCAAGGGTTTGGAAATGCTCACTCTTGTAAATGTTACATTTTGATGTATAAGAATCTGCTGACCAAGCATGTTTTCATAGTGGCAATTTGCACATTTGTTTAATTGCTTGCTTTTTTTATGAGACTGTTTTATGAAAAGTGTCATAGCAAAGTGCCTTTTTATCGTTGCTACTGTAAAACCATAAAAACTAAAATTAAAAGTCTGTCATTTATTCAATGTTTAAATGGCCTTGGCCAGTAAGAAACCACCACCTGAAACCCCCTAGCAACCTCATAGAAGGCACTAAAACCATCCAGAACAGCTTACAGACTGCAAAGTAATGCCCTGATATGCATTTTAGAAGCCCCATAACAATGCCCTGGCAGCTACCAACAACATCCTAGCACTGTGGTGGTGACTTTTGCATGTGCAAGCAGTATTTATTAGTATTTTGAGGGAAACTATGGTTACCGTGGTGAACTTGTATAAGGCTATCCAATAGCTTTATGCATCTGTCTCTCCTTTGGAAACCTTGTCTTGTCTTCAGTCACAGCCAGCATCCTCCTCCTCAATGCTGTCTCTAGTGTACCCTTTTCAGTCTTTTACATAACTGGAATATTCCTCTCCCCCGCTTTTTTTCAGATCTATGTTTTCCATGGCTTCTTTGAGTAGCTTTCCTCAGACATGGCCAAACACACACTATCCTATGTCGTGGGCTCAACATACTACTTTTATTTGGCAATTTTTGCGAATGAGTACAATTATTTTCCATTATATATTGTATCATCTGGCATGCTTTGAAAATGATCCAAAGAACGTCTTGTGCTTCAGAGGAAGAACAGAAATCTGTACAAATGAATTTGGATGATGAATAGCCAAGTTTCCATCCAAGGTGGGGGGGGGGGGGGGGGGTTATTTTTTTTTTTTTTTGGAAACACTTACTAAATAAAAAAATAGATAAAAAAATAGATATCGAGTAAAAAGGGCTTGAACGCAAACAAATGCTTTGTTTTATGACAGTCCGCGTCTGTATGTTGCTCCCATCAAAGAACTTTTTCTCTGTAATTTTAAAGGGTAAATTAAATTTATTCTGAGTTTACACAGGCAGATTTCTTTTGTGATGCACTAAAACTTTTGTGATACAGTTTTTTATGGATGATGTCATTATGCACACCATTTTACCGTTCACGGGCAAATTGGGTAGACAGACTGTAGACAGGACGTTTTTGCAAACTTCCCTTTGTCAATAACAGAACAGGGAAAAAAGTGGATTAAAAACTTGTCTAGTGTCTCAAATTCATTGCGATTACTGACCTAAATGTACAAGTTTAAATTAGATATTGAATCCCATATTTTTTTTTAGTGTGGTGATTTTTGGTCTGCCCATTCAGACCCCCCCTTTTTTTGCACTCTCCCACCCAATTGAATTGGTGATTTTGAAATACAATTCCAATCAGGTTTTACAGATTTGCTCATAACAGATTTCAAATGGTTTTCCTTCCTTCCCTCTTAAAGGAGTAGTTCACTTTAAAAAACTTTTGCTGATAATTTACTCACCCCTACAGAAGAGGATTAGGGCCAAGCAATAATAATAAAAAAATAAAACCATCTTGTCATTATAATTCATTATAAAGCCATTATAATGCGTGATTAAACTTGTTAAATTTCAAGAAAAAAGTCTAAATACAATCTTGAGAATAAACTCATTAAATATCGAGATTAAAGTCATTGTAATGCAAGAATTAACTCGTTAAATTTAGAGAAAAAATGTCGAAGTACAATCTTGAGAATAAACTCATTAAAAATTGAGAATAAAGTTGTGTTTCAAGAAAAAAACTCGTTAAATTTAGAGAAATAGTCTAAATACAATCTTGAGAATAAACTCATTAAATATCGAGATTAAAGTCATTATAATGGAAGATTTAACTCCTTAAATTTAGAGGGAAAAAAAGTCGAAGTACAATCTTGAGAATAAACTCATTAAATATCGAGAATAAAGTTGTTGCGTTTCGAGAAAAAACTCATTAAATTTAGAGAAAAAAATTCGAAATACAATCTTGAGATTAAAGTCATTATAATGCGAGATTTAACTCGTTAAATTTAGAGAAAAAAGTCGAAGTACAATCTTGAGAATAAACTAATTAAATATCGAGAATAAAGTTGTTGTGTTTCAAGAAAAAACTTGTTAAATTTAGAGAAATAGTCGAAATACAATCTTGAGAATAAACTCATTAAATATCGAGATTAAAGTCATAATGCGAGATTTAACTCGTTAAATTTAGAGAAAAAAGTCAAAGTACAATCTTGAGAATAAACTAATTAAATATCGAGAATGAAGTTGTTGTGTTTCAAGAAAAAACTCGTTAAATTTAGAGAAATAGTCGAAATACAATCTTGAGAACAAACTCATTAAATATCGAGATTAAAGTCATTATAATGCAATATTTAATTCCTTAAATTTAGAGAAAAAAAGTCGAAGTACAATCTTGAGAATAAACTCATTAAATATCGAGAATAAAGTTGTTGTGTTTCGAGAAAAAAAACTCGTCAAATTTAGAGAAAAAAGTCGAAATACAATCTTGAGAACAAACTCATTAAATTTCGAGAATAAAGTTGTGTTTCGAGAAAAAAAACCTATTTAAATTTCGAGAATAAAGTTGTGTTTCGAGATACTGTCTCCATGGTTACTTTGTAAAAACCTTTGTATTGCTGCCACACTACCATTTTCGGTCCCCATGTCCATGCGGAACTCTCGGGACACCCTCCTATGCCATTAGGCTAATTGTTTTTATGAAGAATCTAACTGGCTATTACTTGAGGGTCGTTATTGGTTGTGTACTCCTCCATCCACAGAATGTAACGACTGTAACCATCTATACAGCCATTAATGACAATGCAGTACATACGGATTTAATTGATCAAAGTCCATATTCCAGAGTGCATTTGGGCCAGCGCTGTTCGTTGTTCAAGTGACGGCTCAAGCGTCTTTTATCAGTACTCATCAAAATGAACGAATCTTTTTTCACGTCATTTCGTTCATTTTGTTCGTTGAATGAACCAAATGTCTCGAAAAAAGATCCGTTCATTTTGGTGAACGAGTTTAAACAGGAGAGTCACGAACGCGCATCACAGAACAGAGCAAGGTGAGCATTTGCGCTTATAAAATTTACACTTTTTTTTTTTTATATATAAAAGTGAACTACTCCTTTTAACGCATCACACAGTGATAACATCAAAACCGGTGACGAATATGGTGAAAGTATTCATACAGTATTCACACGGCATGTCCAAGATTTCAGCTGTGACTATTCAGAACATCACAATACCAGTTTCTCTGGGTTTTATTTACTTTTAGTTTTCGTGCGACAGAGGAGTTCTGCAGGACGCTTATTTGGAGAGCGATATGATGCACCCTAATTGTTCCTGCATCTGTTTCGAAAGCCTCAGTCCTTTCACAAACTTCCTAAAAAAAAGTGGTTTTGCTATGTTTCTGGGGACATTTGCAGAAATTTCATCCCCACACAGACCTGCAAACAGAAGGGTTTTGGAGAGCTGGAGTGTGTTTGCGTGAGAGGTCACATCAGGTAGCTCTTAATTTGGTTAAGTTTGTTGGCATTTCCTGTTAAGGACTCTGGGTTTAATTTCTGCGCCATCAAATTTCCCTTTGTTTGTAGAGTTCTTATTTAATCTTATCTCTCTTTTCTGTCTTTGTTTCCCCCACTTTTGTTTTTGCTAAGAACATTCTGAAACACTAAACATTAGTTTCATTTCCCTTTTTTTTTGTTCAGGTGGAGATATTTTACGCCTGTCCCGACATTTACGTTTGCTCTGCCAAGTGGTTGATGAATGGATAACAAACTAGGATCACACTAACTGTGAATGATTATGATGCAGATGATAAGCACAGATACTAAAAACTGGCTCTCTTGAGATTTGTTGTTAGAGACCGAATTGTTCATGATGATTTACTAAACGTTTGCGTGTCTAGAAACACATGCAGACTTGATAAAACACACAAACAGATGATTTTGTGTTGTTACAGACCTGTAAACTTGTTTATTGTTTTTGTCACAAGTGTGCTCTCTCTTGCTCTCTTTCCCGCAGCTTTTAAGTCGGAAGGACAAGGCCACATTTGAGAGGCTGGAATATCTGATGTCTAAAGAAGACAACTATAAACGCTTGAGAGATTTCATCAGCAGCCAGAGCATGACATCCTGCATCCCGTATCTGGGTATTTTTTCTTTTCTCTCTCTTTTGAACACACATAAACATAGCCTTGTGGGGAGGATCTTTTCTAATCTGCCGTTCGTAATAATATAATGCAGTTATAAATACATCTTCACACACACACATTTTAATGAGTTTTTAATTAAATTATCCCATTTTAAACCATTTTTTCTTGTTTAGATATTCGCCCATTTGTGTTCTTGAATTTGCCTTTCAAATGAATTTCGTTACGCTTTTGCCGCATTAACATCGAACATTTTTAGAACTCTTGATATTGTTTTATCGGGGAAAATTCTATTGCAACAATTATTGTTATTGTTTTATTGCCCAGCCCTAATGATGACCAGCACAAAATTAGCGTCTGGTTTAAGATTTGCTGGTTTAAGTTTAAGTAACGGCACAAATACCATTAAATTGACTAGTGCAAAACTGCAAACCTTAGTAAATCACCATCTCCACTTGGGATGCAAATGGTTAATAAACCATTATTATCGATTAATTGATTAATCGGTTATGGATTAATTGTCGACGAGAATTTACTCGATTAAATTAATTGTCGGCTAATTGAACATTACAAACGTGACACGATGTTCTCACGCGAGAGAGACGACTCAAACTTGAGGCGGCAAAAAAGAAAGTATGGGTTTTATGACCTTATTTCAGTGACTTTTTTTTTTTCACAAACCACGCATAAACAACATTATCTCAAAACTACAAAATTTTACATACATGTTGCTGACATATTATTGTAGCAGAGTTTGTGCTGAATACAGTGTAATAATAATTTAGCCATGAAAATGTCACAAGTAACAGAGAAAAGCACAAAGAACACCTCCAGGACCTAAAAAACAGCTCAGACCCCTAAGGGATAAAACATATTTTATGTTGCTTAATATTTCAGATGCAACACGTGAGCCAGCGCACAATTATTTTTTATGTATTTTAATTTTCTATGCGTAATTTATTTAGTTAAACTACATAAATGCCATTATTCTGTGACGTATCCCAACTGTTACAATAAAACATCAATTGAGCAATATAACATGCATTTTTATTCAGTATATAAGTAATATTTAGCTTTTTATGTTAAATTGATACCGTGAGAAATTTACATTCTCAGGAAAATAGGCGCTTATCAGTTAATCGTTAATCGGTTGATCAACTAATGATTTATGAATTAATTGATAATTTGCATCCCTACTCTCTCCACCCATGCATTTTGTGTCTGAAAGGGACACTCCTACAATGGATTTGTAATAAGATCAGTCGCAAAAATACTTTTCAGTGCTTATTTTTCTCTGCGTGTCTTTAGTAAATCCTGACTAGTTTTTTTTTGTTTGTTTTTTAACGCCAAAAGAGTGTTTGTGCTGGTGCAAGCTGTTAGTAATTCTGGCCCCAAGTCTTTAATCACAATATTCAAGGTACACAGGAAAAGCTATCAACCTTGATCAAGTAAAACTAAGATTACACGCAACTAAGGGTAGAAATACACAGACATGAACAACAAATAAACATAATCAAATCAGAAACTAATGAAAGTCATCATTGATCAAACAAACTGTAATATCGTGAAGTAATATTACAATTAAAAATGCTTTCTATTTGACTGTTTTAACATGTAATTTATCCATGTGATGCAAAGCTGAATATCGGTATCATTACTCCAGTCATTAGTGTCACACGAGCCTTCAGAAATCAGTCTAATATGATGATTTGATGCCATGTCTTATCAATGTTTAAAATAAAAAATAAGTTTGTAGTTTTGCTGCCTTTGTAGTATAAAGATGGTTTATCTAAATGTCATCCCTACAAGGTTATCAAAATATGTTCATTCATGCACTCCATGACAAACATTTCTGTTGCTTAGTGCCATACTTATAATACTCTTTTATAAGACTGGCATCATCAGCTGTTATGCCCTGTATATACGTGTTGGAGTTACATCATCATCTGAACACAGTCGCAGTCCTGCTTTATTCAGGGCGTTTAGAGCTCAGATGGGCAATGGGAGACGCTGCTGAGCCATTAACCAGTGTTTTTCAGTGTTTTTATTTTACTTGTCTTCTTTCTTTTTTTTTAACTGGCAGCACAAACTGTGTCTTGAGCAAATTGGAAACTATTTATTTTGAGTGACCTGAAAAATGTGCGTGTTTGGACTCTTTACTTTCATCAAATTCTTCTTAGACGAGGCGGATTTCTTGTATCTTTTTGGCACAGTTCTCATAGATGTGCTTGATTATGAAACCGTATAAGTGAGGAATGAATAAATCAGAGCTGGTCATAGTGTGAGAGATATTTACAAGCTTTCCTTCGCTCTGCTTCTCTTCAATGTGTTCTCTCCATATATGTTTAGGTCAGAGGTCTTCAAACCTGCTCCTGGGTGCCTGCACTGCTCTGTCCTGCAGAATACACCTCTGACCAATATTAAACACTCCTGAACCAGCTAATCAAGCTCTTCAGGATTGCTTGAAAATCAGGTTGGATATAAACTTTGCGAGGCAATGGGTCTCCAGGAGCATGGTTGAAGACCTCTGGCCTAGGTGACTTGGTTAGTGTATTAAATTAACATCTAAGGATGCACAATATATTCTGAACCATATTGGTTATCGACTGATATCCTAATTTCATTGTCTAAGTTGTAATGTTGTTATGTCTAAATTTCAAATTCATTGATCATTTACTCACACACAACACAAAAGATCACAGAAGATGATATTTAACCCTTCCGTTGTTTTGTCATTGTGACCCATAGAAGTTTATTTGATTTATCTGAAAATGCTAGTTAATGTTATCAAACTGGACTAAAACTTACTCAACAGTGCAAGGATATTAAAGTCCCCTCGTAGTCAATAACTGTATCCCTTAAAACTCATCTTTGATCACCAAAATGACAAATAAAAAATCAAAAGTCCTTGGAAATCATCATGCTTTAAAATACCTTGACTGTAACTCAACACCCTTGCCTCATTTAGTATACATGGTTCTATGAATATGCAAATTAGCCCCACCTCCACTCACTCACACCAGCTCAGAGATCCTCTCGTTGACGATCGCCCGCTGACCTGATTGGTTACAAGGTAGTTTGTGACGTGAGAAACACCAGCGATTTCAAACCACATTTTTGCGACTGTCTTTGGTTCACTGCAGTTTTAAAGAGGAAATACTCAACAATGATGTTGACTTATGAATGTATACATGATTTACCTTAAAGCATATTCAAAACACCATATAGACCTATACAGTAAGCATCAATAGTTTGATTCTGCATTCCCACCACCATACAGTAAAAGTAAGGCCGTGTGTCCACCAAAGCGTTTGTCCACGTGCCTGGCGTATGTTTTCAATTGTTTTCAATGTGAGCGCCGCGTTTTTTAAATGCCATGAGCGTAACGAGGTGCTGAGCGTTTTTTTTTGTTTTTTTTTACACGCTGAAGCGCCGAACGCTCAGCGTTTTCTACTGGTCGCTGAGAGTTGAAAAATGTTCAACTTTGGATAAAACGCAGCGCTCATCGCTGTCACTTTTTACCCAGCCGTCCAATCACAGTGGAGGAGGGGCGGGACTAATACCACACCGATCAACTGTCACAACATTCTTTCTGTACAACAACATCAACCAGCAGAGCTAACCAAACAAAATGGATGAATAATAATTTTTTAGAATGAAACTAATTATATGCGAAATCAGTTACAAGTAAACAGTAATGACATGAGGTGTATATGATGATATTTTTTGGGTGAATTATGCCATAAATGAACTTTAAATTAACAGAACCAAGACTGACTGTGTGCATACATATTTGTCTGATGTGTTTGGTACGGGGCTGGAGGACTCCTAAGCTCTCTGGAACACAGAGAGGAAAATACTGCTGTCTTGTGCAACTTGAGGTCTAAACTGCAATAAAGAACTGCCAGTCACTTTCCTCAAAGAAAAGATGGAGGAATTTAAGGCACAGAATTGGAGGACCTCTTGTGTTCTTCAGACTTGGCCGTACTAATCAAACTGTTCATTTTGACCCGCTGGATGTTCTTCAACAGAACATTGGAAGTGTGCTAAAAACTCAAAGATACATATTTATATTAACTAAAGCTGCCCCCTAATAGTCAACCAAATGTTAGTTCATGAGAAAAGAGGCTTAGTTGACCAAATTTGAATTAGTCGGTTAGTTGCCGAAAAAAAAAATCCAAAGGAATTGGTGGGGGTGGGGAAAAAATCGATTCTCAGATGCATGGCGATGCGGACGTGGACGATTCTGAATCCATTAACAAATGTCAAAAATCGAAAAAACCTTTTTTGATATACATTTATAAAAAATAATGTAATATTGAAGGAATGCAAAAGACAGAATTCTGAAGCACGGAAGTGCAGTGTGCGTGCACATAACAGAGACGCGATGGGGCGGGCGGTAATACCACACCGATCAACTGTCACACAATTATTTCTGTACAACGACATCAACCAGCAGAGCTAACTGAACAAAAGGAATGAAAAATAATTGTTTGTATGAAACAAATTAAATGCAAAATCAGTTACAAGTAAACTGTGCTGCGGATATTCTGTTTTTCAATTCTCAGCGACCAGTGAAGCCAAGCCAAGCTCTCAGTGCTTCAGCGTGTAAAAACTTTCAGCGCCTTGTTGCGCTCATGGCGTTTAAAAAACGTGGCACTCCCATTGAAAACATGCTCATTAAAATAGCTTTGGTGGACACAGGGCCTAATGGTGCGTTCACACCGGACACGAATAGCGCGTCAGGCACGAATTATTTCAATGTTAAGTCAATGCAAAGACGAGTTACACACTTAAAGAATACCTGCGGCACGAATGAGGCGTAGAGCGCGGCGCGGAAGACGCAAATACGCCTCATTCGCGCATGATTTAGTTAGTGCCATTTGTGCATTCACGCGTTGGCGTCATGTCACGCCGTGTTAACCAATACGGGGGCCTAGCTACTTGCTCACGTGGCGAAGGATGTGGATGCTTTAATAAATTATTTTGTAATATGACTAAATGCATGGTGGGATTCTTTATTTCAATAAACGAGACATGTTCATTTTGTATTGAATGTTAATCATTCCATATCTAGATTATATGAAATAGTATTATGATGTAAAGACAACCAACATGCATGTGCAAAGGTTCGTGTCTGGATGTGAAAGAGAAAAAAAAAATCACAGGACAGGTTAATAACTTTTGAAGGCTGGCTCTATTTATCATCAAAACAAAAATAAATGACAGCTAGATGAGGTGGATGAGGGCGAGGGTGATCCTCGCTCCGATGCAGGACAACAGGTCATCAAAATGCTCGATAAACATAGAAAAAGATTGATTTTGACGTACGAGATGCGCGTAAATTTCCCTTCAAACTTTTGATTTTGCGTGCGCCAGTTTCGCTCTTGACGCGCAAATTAACACAAAGTGGTCAAGCGTCAAACTAGACGCGGTAGACACGAATTTGACACGCTATTCACGTCCGGTGTGAACGTAGCATTAGGGTGATCCGATCAGGAATTTTTGGGGGGAATTTTGGAAACTTCACAGGGAGAAGTATGTGCCGATACTAGGGGTGGCACGGTACATGAAAAAACACCCGAACCGTTCGGTTCGCTTGTCTCGGTTCGGAGCGTGTGTGCGTCTCACGGTTTGACGCATGCGCAATGTAACCTCGTGCCCGTATGTGACGTGTGTTTTCTTTTCGCGCGACATAAACGTGTTCGACTTGGACCGGCGCTGCACAGAGCGATCGGTGAATATCAAACTAGCGCGAGTCGGCTCCGTATGCATTCATCACTTTCGCGGTATTTGATGTCATTACCGATCGCTCTGTGCAGCGCCGGTTCAAGTTAGTAAACAAGCCAGTAAAAGTGGAGTATGGAGCGCTGCAGGTCACGGCACGCGGAGAAATGGCAAGTGGGAGAGATGAGGGAGTTGGAGGATGCGCCAGCGTCGTATGAGTCTATGGTATAAGTCCGGTGTGTGGGAACATTTTGGATTTCATGTTATGATATTTTAATATAACGCTACAGTGGCACTTTATGTATAGATAAGAGCTTCAGTCATACGTTTCCAAATCCTGCACTTTAATTTTAAGTGGAAAAAAGGTACCCTCACATTTTGGGAATAGAAGCATTGTTGATACTGTTTTTGTGTTGAGGCTGAACTTAAATTTCACTTTATGTTTATGGCCTTTGCTATTGCTATAGCTTAATTATCTATAGGCAATGAGGTTTCATGTATATTGACATTTAAAAGACAGTGTTTTAAGAGTTCCTCTCTTTTTCTTTTAAAAGATAGAATTTTGGTAAGAGCTACAAAAGTTAGCAGTTGATACATGAAAGTTAATTTCTTTGTGTAAATAAGATTTATGTGATAAAAATGCACAAGTTCTTGTAGAGATAGTGATACACATTCTCCTTTTTTTTGCCAAATAAACAAAAAGCATGTCAATGTCTTCTCTCTTGCTGTATCTAAATCTCACCTAGCTTTCCTCTGAGATAGTCCCAAAATGTGCTTAAAGTCAGAGTCAAATTCAGTTTGTGCATGATTGCATGAATATAATATATATTTTTTTAATACTGTATCCTAAAGTGTGGATAATTAAGTGATATATCACATGTTGAAGTACATTTCTTGAGTGTTAAGATTAAAAGAAAAAATAACAAGAACCGTACAGAACCGAAAACCGTGACCCTAAAACCGTGATACAAACCGAACCGTGGGTTTTGTGAACCGTGCCACCCCTAGCCGATACCGATCTATGTGAAGCCTATTTTTAATCATGTAGAATTATTTATATGGATGCTCCAATCACAATTTTACAGACATTCATTCAGGGCCTGAATTTCATTTTTGAAAATGGGGAAAAATCTTTAGTCAAGGGCAGTCCTAATGTAAACGCCATCCATTTACATTTAGTTAAATACATACCATCTAGTTATAATTTAAAATACTTGTCAAATTGTAACGATTAGCCTATGTTCAGTTTTTCACTGTTTCACAATTTTCAGTTTCATTTTCACACCGTTTGATCCTTTCCTGTTTACATGATTTCCTAGTTAGTTTCCTCATTTATTAATTAGCTCTACATGTTTATTTAATAATTCATCACATTAATGTGTTGGTTATAAAGATTAAATTGTGTTCTTAAATTGCGTGTATCTGGCGATGGCCATCATTTTGAGTAGGATATATGAAGCTGGAGCCAGAGCTGGATGTGTCACAGGATCTAGTGAATGTGCCTGGATTGATGTTGTACAGTTCCAGCTAATTTATGGTAGTCTTCATCTGCATCTGAGTCACAGCCTAGTACTCAGGACTGGCTTGCAAGATGTGTTATCCCATGCAAATGATGCGCATAATCTTCGGGTACTAAAGCTACACAGACTATGCATATAAGCGACCCTAACTCATTGTCGGTGAATTCTCCCTTTGGTCTTTTCACTTCTGCTTTGGCTATCAGAGTCAGTGATTTGTGGTGTGTTATGAAAGCGCTCAGGTGAGGGGATGGGCTCTGAACACATCCAGACGGCTTCTTCACAGTGTGAATGTGAGAAACTGGCTTGAAGGCTTTTGAGAGGAAGATGTGGTAATGGATCGGGTCAGTGTCCAAATGGTTTGTGTGTTTTGTTATAACCGGATTTTCCTACTGAAAAGACAGGATCAGATTGAAGCTTCCAGCTGGATGCACATAGGTGTGTGTGTGTGTGTAGACTGAGTCTGTGAACTGATCTAAACCATTGTTTGCTGTGTGGATGAAAATGTTCCCCCAATTCTGATACCGCTTCCTATTGGCTCAGTTTTACCACTTGGCCACCAGAGAACCACAGAACACACACATTGTGTTGTCATGTTTTATGGGGACTTTCCATAGACATTATGATTTTTTTTATACTGTACAAACTGTATATACTATCCCCTTACACTAACCCTACCCCTAAACATACCCATCAAAGAAAACACACACACACAAAATGCCAGCACCCCCTGCATAGACACTGTCTGGAACTCCCATCAACTCGCGCGCGCACACACACACAAAGTTTACATTGGGGCTGTTGATAGGGTATTTAAATGGAACAATGAAACTTGCATTAAATTTGCAATTTAACTTTAAATATTAATATTTAAATTTAAATATTTATAATTGATATAATAATACCCTTTCATAATAATCTTACCCAAAATGCAGTTCTGTAAAATGTTAGTCGTAATATCAATATCAATATAAGTCGCAATATCAGTTATTAGACAATGATAAACAATGTATTTAAAATGAATCACATCAATATCATAGAATTTGATCAATGATACTGTTCTTTTGTTTTGTTAATGTGTTTTAATAATATTTTGAATTAGCATTTATTTATATTTCTTCAGGTTTCATTTACTTTTTTTATTACGTTATGCGTTTTTTTTGATCAAACAGATTCATGAGTTCAGATTAATTTAGTAAAGAATGACTTCTGGGACATGAATCGCCCTGCATGACATTTCTGAAAGTAAGAGCATGTGATACCAAAATTTACATTTCCCACTTTTGTTTTTTCTTAATTTTCCACAAGTCATCACGGTTGATGATTTTAATGACCGTCAGCCTTTGTATTCGAAAAACTTTTATGAGACAAATGAAAATTACATTCTGATGGAGACTGCACTTGTTGTCTAAGCGTGAGTATTTTTCTCTCATGTGCCACGTCCAGGATAGTGCGAAAGCCTGTGATTGGTGTCCCGTGAGGTGATGCATGTTGGGAAACAGATAGAACCGATAGAGGCTGCTCGCATAATTTTATCTGCCAGGGTCTCTCTCTCCTCTCTGAGTGTGTGTGTCCGTGTTCTCCCGATAGGATTTGATGCTTGGCTATGAGTGATCCAGGACGGTTTGAAAGATAGTCCCGCTGGGGAAACCGGGAACAGGGAGGCATAACTTTTATGAAATACACTTTTGTGGGGCTGTAACCTAAGCACTTTATATGGAAGGAATGTCTTGCTCTTTTGTCTCCATCTCTCTCTCTTTCCCTCTGGATCCCTCTTTTTCTCTCTCTCGGCTCAGTCTCTCTCGCCTCCATTCGTGATGGCTGAAATGTGTTTTTCATTGTCTCTATGTGCTGTAGTCCTCCCATTTTCACATGTCTGCATACTTTTGACATGAAATCTCTGTTTCTGAACACTCTCGCACACACACTCCTGCTCATACCGCAGAAAAGTCAATGGTGTAATTGAAAAGCCAGCTGTGACTTCATATATAGTATACTGTACGAAAAAAATGGTTCACTCAGGCTTTTGGACGCTGTTTTATTCAGTGTTGCAGCGTTAAAAGTGGATTCAGAGATCATTTAAACAAAAATGTATTTCATTTCATTCATACCAAAATTATATTCGGGCATAAGTGTGTCCATCCCCCTGTTGATGGAGTAAATCAGTTTGTGTGATTTTTATAAAGGTAGTCTAGCATAAATTCGGCCTATAGTTTGTGAGCCAGTAAGTGGTGTAACCAATTAATGAAGGTAGACCAATTGAAAAACTCAACATGAAATCAAAATGGACCACATTTACTTACATAATTATCATTCTTGGCCTTATTGTGACCAATTTATTGGTGCACATTATTTAATTGGTGCTAATTTTGCTATTAACTTCTGCTTTCACTTAGGTTGCGAAAACATACAGAATTGCAATTTGAATTTTAAGTAGTACAACTTATATGTTTTGAAATTCAAAAAATCCATATATTCGAACTACAAGTGTAGCTAGAAAATGAAGATTCATCAAGACAAACTTTGAATGATGGCTTGAATAAGCCTTGTCTGAAAGTTATAAGAGTTTAAAGGCCTTTTTTAGGGTTTTATACTTTGTAATAAATTAACTTTTGATTGATAAATTTCATTTCATGTGAAGCATGACCAATTTACTTAAAATTTCAACTCATTACCTGAAAGGATGCCAATTCCAGAGTTCTGAATGCTTGCTCATAATACTCTGCAACTACTTTATCTCCTAAAATAAGGCCACACAAACAGTTGGATAATCTCAACCAACTGTTTTAACAAACTCATATTTGGTTTGGCTCCATTATGGTATTTAATGTCTGCTTTTCACAGTCCAATCAACTCCCACTTGTTGAATATCTTGTTTCACTTGAAAACATACAGTATTATATTGTGGACGAAATAATATTGAATTTAAGATTTAGACTTTGAAAAACGCATATTGATTGACCTCTAAGCTGGAAGTTGAAGCTGCATATTGATCAACCTCTGAGCTGGAAGTTCAATGTACATGGTGGTTACAACCCTGGATGTAATTTTCTCTCTCTTTTGGTAAAAGTATACAAAAGTTTGTCAAAAGCACAATGGTACATCATAATCGGGGTTAAATAGATGATTGGAGGATTATAACTGTAATAAATACAGATCACTGGTATATAAATAACAAATGAATACTGTGGATTGGAGGTGAGTCCTTAAATTAACTCTTACAAAAACAAACAACTATTAAACATGAAGTATATTTACAGACCAACGTTACCCCCGAATGCAGACGGGGCCTGGTGAACGGTTCAGCCCAGTGCTAGTCCTGTTACAGACAAGCCTCCAAAGCAAGAGGCCAAAGATCTTTAATTAAAAACCTGCGATTGAGGCTTTGAAGTCGTCAGTCCAAGCAATGAGGGAGAGTCAGAAGGAACAGACACCAATGAAGATATTGCAGTGGAGAAGAATGTAAGAAGTAAACAGTAAAAGGAAAATTTAGGAGATGGAGAAGAGCAGGAGATCCTGAAGTTGACCGTGTTGTCATCCGACTCCAACTTTTTAGTTTTTTACGTCGTCTTCTCTGAATTCCGATGGACTGTTCAACAGACCAAATGGCATCGGTGTTCAAGTCTGGTTAAACGCATGTCCTTTAACTCCTTTTCACGATTTGTTATGCTGTTGTTACCAATGACGACTATACTGTGTTATACATGTCAGTCCTCATAAACATAAATGTGTGATTATAAATAAGTGCTGAAGTGAGTTATGAGTACATTCAAGCGATTTAGACTCATGTGAAATGAGGGTGAGGTCCTGGGGTGAACCTCAGTCTATTGGCCGGATCATCATACGGACTGATTTGAGCGAATAGAACCCGCCTCCATACTCCGCCCAGAAGATCCCATCTTGGAACTTGCTGCGATACACACCACCGGAGTACCACACGCCGTTCAGATTGGTTTGTCCACACGCGTTGTACCACCAGCCGCCTTTGTGGAAATGAGCGCAGTTGCCTGTGATAGAAGAATATGGAGAAGAGAATGCAATAAGAATGACGACACATTTTCAAAGCTTTTGCTCATGTCAGAACCAATTCCAGACAACCCTTGTCAACTCAAGGACAGTTTCTTGGTGCATTCCTGATAAAACGAATCAAGCATCATTGGCAATCAAATCTGCAGTGGGACATTATTAGCTTTGGAGCTGTGACAGTCGTATGACATTTGGAATGATGGCTTGACTAAACCGTGCCTGAAAGTTAAAGGAGAACTCCGGCGCAAAATGAACCTTTGGTCTAATAAAACATTGGTACCCGTCGACCGTTCTCTGAGATTTGTTTTCAGGATAACTGAATGTAAAGAGTTTTATCTCTAAAACTGTTTATCATATAATGCTAATATATGGGGGCATATCCATCCATCCATCCATCCATCCATCTTCTTCCGCTTACCCGGGGCCGGGTCGCGCGGGCTGCAGTCTAAGCAAAGATGCCCTCAATTCCCTCACCCTACAAAGACTTCCCTCACCCTAGACACTTCCTCTAGCTCTTCTGGGGGACCTCGGGGCGTTCCCAGGCCAGCCGGCAGACATAGTTTGTCCTGCGTGTCCTAGGTCTTCCCCGGAGTCTCCTCCCAGTGGGACGTGCCCAGAACACCTACCCGGGAAGGCGCCCAGGAGGCATCCAAAACAGATGCCTGAGCCACCTCAGGTGACCCTTCTAAATGTGGAGGAGCAGCGGCTCTACTCTGAGCTCCTCCCGAGTGACCGAGCTTCTCACCCTATCTCTAAGGCATCGCCCAGCCACTCTGCGGAGAAAGCTCATTTCGGCCACCTGTATCCAGGATCTTGTCATTTCGGTCATGACCCAAAGCTCATGACCATAGGTGAGAGTAGGAACGTAGATTGTCCGGTAAATCGAGAGCTTTGCCTTATGTCTCAGCTTCTTCTTTACCACAACAGACCGGTACATCGACCACATTGCTGCAGAAGCTGCACCGATCCGTCTATCAATCTCCCGTTCCATCCTTCCCTCACTCGTGAACAAAACCCCAAGATACTTAATATCCTCCACTTGAGGAAGGATCTCTCCACCAACCTGAAGTGAACAAGCCACCCTTTTCCGACTGAAGACCACAAAGTGGGCTCTTTATAAAGTATCTTCTTACTAAACGGTCTGTACACTTACAAAGTTCTCAATGCTTTGTTTTGCATGTAGGGACAACAAGCAATAAATTCTACTTGCTGTAATTCCAATAAATGTTTCCCTTGTAAGTTTTTTATATATTTATATAAGTAGTTATAGCATACTGTATGCCAAGGATTTAAAAAAAAAATGCAATCGTACTGATCTAACTGGCTGTTAGCATCTGACCTGTAAAGGCGTCTTTATCCCGGTCGAGCGTTGTGAAGGGTTTTCCATTGTGGCTTGTGAGGGAGTCTCCGGCATTGCCCTGGTAGGTGCCCAGTCTCAACCTGAAGGCTTCACTTTCAGACTCCAGATGGAAACTGCTGTACTCTGCATAGACCTTCTTCCCAACCCAGTCCTCCAGCTCCACCAGCAATTTGTAGTCCCCCTGCTTGGCTAGGTTATAGATGTTCTCCAAGCCCAGCCAGTGCTCTCCATCTATGTTCCCAAAGCCTTTCTGTGTGGGAGAAGGAGGGAGTAAATAAGAGAAACCGTAATAGAGACGAAGTATGTGAGAGAGAAGTTTGATCTTTTCTCCAATGGAAATAGCTCATCTAAGTCTTGAGTGCGCTTAGTGGATTTATGTGTTCCCCTGGCTTTGTGCAGTTATTTTACTTGTTTTCATTTCATTTGTGTCAGTGAGGAGGATTTGAGGTATTTTTTCTGTACGAGGCCTTCAACTCTGGACTTACAATTCACTCATTTTGGCAAGTAAACACTCAACTTTGACAAAATCGGTGAAGTCACACTCCCAAGCCAGACTTTGCAGGGAACTTGAGAGCTACTTTAGAAAGGCATAACTAGATTTTTCCACCGATTTCAGCAGCGTACAGGGGGAAAATGGTCATTTTAGGGCCATTGCTCCTGGAAAGAGAATGAATTATGTTCTTTCGGTCTACAAGCCTCCTATACATCACATCTATAGTTTTTTGGTTTCCCCAACTGAAGGTGAAATGTCTTTTCCTGTTCAGCACTAATGCTGTAGGAAACGTGTTGTGGAATACATAGCTTAGATGTTTTATTTATTACCAATGATCTAATACCATAAACTAATATTATCAAATTTCTCAGCTGCTTTTGATATTAGTCATTACTTATTTTCATGTAATTGTTGATAATCTAAACCCCTGATATAACAAATCTATATAACTGAAGTCTTGAGAATTGAACTAGTAAATCACTAATGGGCCTTACTGGGAATCTCATTGCACATTCCATCTATCTCACACATCCACACTCGCATGACAGGGATGTGGAGCAGACGGTGAGGCTGTCCCAGTGGCTGCCGTATTTCCCTGATTCTTATCAAATGTTTAGACTTTCTAAATTTGGATAACGAGATAGGAAAAAAAGAGGACTTTACTGCTCGTTCGTTTCTTAGTTTTTGCAGCATGCTCTGGTCTCTGTGTTGTGGGCCCTTACCTTGTAGTTCTCCCAGTTCCTGAAGAAGTTGACCGAGCCATCTTTCCTTCGCTGAAAAACGGTCCAGCCTCCGTTGTCTAATTTATGTTCACACCAGGCCTGAATTAGCCTATCATTACCCTCTGTTTTCAACAATACATCCCACTGGTGCTGTGCCCCGCCTGCCGCACCTGAAAACAGTCTCTGAACGGGCCTGAGGAAGACAAGGAGAAAAGTAAACTAGGTTTCTCACTTCAGTGTGTAATATCTGGACCAGTACAGATACGTTGATGAAGACCATTTGCATTCCCAACGTGACTTGCGCATTCTTTCGAGCTCGTAAATTAGTTCTGGTTCACTTGTGCATTCTCATTATTTTGTTGTAATATTATGCTTGTGTGTACTGTATATCTGATTAATCTCGTGCAGCTCAAGCGGGTCATCCCCAACATTGACTAATTGGAATATTTAAAATAATCGTATTCTCTATAGATTTTTCTTATGTTGTTTTGTTGTTTTCGTCATGGTGTGCATGTCTCTTTTAACAAAAAAAATATAACAATAATGTCACAGAGGAATAACAACATTGAAATCCCATTCGGAACTATTTTCATCATGCTGATGAACAATAAAAATATTGACAGCCTATTCAAATCCACCCAATTTTAAAGGGCTTGAGCATTTAAAGGAACAGACCATGTAACTGCAACATGCTTATGATGAACAATGTTCGCATCTGTTGGTGGGGATGTTAATAGCTATTACCCCTTTTGAAATGGACCTTAACACTGTAAAATGTACTGGCTGGTTCCAGTGTCTCGTGTTTAGGTGGCTTTGGTTGGTATTTGGGACTGCAATATTTTGGACACTTAATATAGAGGGCTCAAATCAGTTTGGGGAGTTTTCCTGTCCATAGAGAGATGCTGTTATTTTAACTGAATGCTCTCCCTGGTCTCTGGACTCATCATCTCTGCCCTGGGATCTCCCAGCACTTTAGATTTGGCTGAAAGATAAATACCCTTCTTTGTCCTGATGAAGTTACCATGCCCAGACGCCAGCTCAGGCCTTCTGCGACTCCCTCTTCCTTTGGTTATTTTCCGCTTATTTTTCTTTTTCCTCTATAGTTGAGCTTAAGCTAAAATCATTATCAGTCATATAGGGGTGAGCCAGAGATGTAGAATGAGAGAGGAAGAAAGCGAGATTCCCTTTTGTAGAATGAGAGCGGAAGATAGCGAGATTCCCTTTTGGCAAATACCCTTTTGGGCGATATGGTTGGGGTGTTGTATAAGAGGAGTTTTCCTGTGTTGAGAGGAAGTTCTTCAGTAGCTCCTGCTGTGCTGAAACAGCTGTGTTAACCAGCCAGGTCCCAGTGTGGCCCTGACCGCCTGTCGATGAATGACAGCCATTGAGCTCATACAGACAGGCATTGTGCCGGCGGCTTCGAGCGGCAGGCATCGGCAGTGTCGGGGAAATGGGCGTTTTCTCTGCTTGGGTCCAGGAGGACCCTCAAACAGAACTGAGTCTTAGAGTCATCCAAAACCACTCTCTGAGCAGCTACTGTTTTTTTTTTTTTTTGGGGGGGGGGGGGGTTTACAGTAATGATACATCTTCACTGGCCAAAACCTAAAAAATTGTACTGTACAACCCCGGAGGTTAGAAGAGTGTTTTGCTTTGGTCAGCTGCGGTTGTAATTCTCTGTGTTCTGAGGTGAAGTGGGCTATACTGAGCTTTCATTAGTGGTCAGTCACAAGAGAATGGGGCCCCATTGAATTGCCTTGGCCATATGAGAGCCTGGACTCTGGAGCCGTTTGCTTCTGGAACTTAGAGATTGTATCATTGTTTAAATCTTTGGTTCAGACTGAAGATCTGCTGGATAAGCGGTGGAGATGTTTTTTTGTGTAATGTGGATATGTGAAAGAGATGGGAATTGGAGAGACCTACCACTGGAGGCTGTGTTTGCAAAGGTTTGATGGTTGTAATATGTATACACCTACTCAAGACTTTATCAGTAATGGCTGTAGCCCAAAACCACAAGATCACACTTTCACCAGCTTGCGTATTTGGCCTTACAAATTATAAGTACTTCTTTGGAGAATTGTAGATGTTTTCCATTGTGTTGAAGGATGTCATTAGGTGACAGTCAAAATGTATTTTTTCTCTTGGATATGTTCCAAAACCAAGGGAGCTGCCCACCTAGATAGCGTTTTTAGGTGTCATAGCTGTGCTCTCTATTACCCCTTTTCCACCAAAAAGAGAACTGGTTCGGAACTGGTGCTGGTTCAAAGTTGGTTCGGAGTTGGTTCAACTTGCGAACCGCTTCACTACAGGACCTATTTGTTTTTCCACTGACTAGAGCGCCCAGGAAACGACGTCATTGCGAAGAAACGCTAGAAACGCTTGCAAATACAACATTACTTTCGGATTATCTCTAACTCGTGTACCAAGAAAGCTTTAAAAACAATTGAAATATGTAAGTCTTTTAATCTTTTCGTTTGATATGTAATCTTGTCTGATAAGTTATGTACCCATATTTAGTCTTTTTTTTTTCTTTCCATTTATTTGTTCCATATTGTGTGACTGTTTTCTTCTTTGCTTATAATGTCTTCAATAAAAAAATTACAAAAATAGAAACACTTGCGTTAACTTCAAGCATAACAATTACAAAGGCGGACTCCATCGTGTTTGTGCAAATGTTTCTCTTGGCTTTGCGATCCTTTATTATGGTCAGAAAAGATGTTTAGTGCCCCTGATGTAAGCATGACGCGGTAAAAGAACGGTTCTAGTCCAGCAAAGAGTTGGTGTCGCTTTGGAACCAGTTTTCCTGCCCGAGAACCGGTTCTTTGGCTGTCGAAACACAAAGAACTGGTTCGCGCGTAGGCACCGGCTCCAAACCGGCTCTCAAAATGCTTTGGTGGAAAAGGGGCTTATGTGAAGGCTAAAGGTATGCCATAAAAATATCTCTTTCTCTCTCTGAAATTTTGAACCAAGTTCATGGAAAATGTTTATTATAAACAGATTTCTATATTAGATTCATTATTAAAAAGTAAAGCTTGTACTGAGTGTCATTAGCTTAGCAGCATGCTAATGTTAGCTATAAATTAGCTATGAGAATTAGCTGATTATCGCTTAAGATACACTTTTTCACATGTTTGAAAAATCATTTTAAATTTCAGACATTTATGAGGTTCTGTTGTCTTAGAAGATAGCTCCCTATAGACCATTTTGCAAGATGTAAACAACACTAGTCCAGAAGCACTTCCTGTTTCAGTTTTTTAACACTACATAAAAGCTGGGATAAAATACAACCAACAGAACATATAAAACTGAATCAGAAAAGTTAAACAACATCTTTAATATGTTTTCTTTACATGTGAAATAAAGAAAACAGTTACAAACTGAAACAGGAAGTGTTTCTGGACCAGTGTTGTTTACATCTTGCAAAATGGTCTATATAGGCTTTATACATCCAGGTAGCTCATTATGTTTTGGAGCATTGCTGCTGCTAACTATACATGTCGCAAACATGGGTTTACCTCTCTCTAAAGTTACAAACTTAATGAATTCCTTTGTGTAAAGTTGTGTTTTATCATGGTTTTGCCTTTTACTGACAGTTACATGGCTGTAAAATCAGTCAAGCAGGGATGTAGTCTTGAAAGTGGCATAAATGTTGACTTTATACTGCTAAGAAGGGCAGAAAGAGTGAGAGCCATCATGTCTGATTTATTTGTCTTATACAGTAAAACGTCTTCAAGAATGGACATTTTTAATGTGTACTCTCAAATTATGTGTTTCTCTCACTTTGTCTTTTAGTAGTCATAAATAATGGCAGCAGTGGTATACTTAGTGGGATGTGCTTGCTTACACTGGCACCTCTTTTGTTTTTCTCATTGTCTGATGGTCTAATGCCTTCATTGTCTTATATAACAACAGCTTGCCCCATTTTTGAAGCAACTGTTTTTTTTTTAACACATGGTCATGTAAATTGCTTTTAAGTTTAGATTTGTTTACAGAGGCGGCATCACTATCTTGCATGTGTGTTAAGGAGGAAAAATGTTATTTTTAATTTTGCTTTTTTTTTTGTTTTTTTGCAAGTGCTTGAAGACGCCTTGTTGCTTTTGTGTTGCTTGTTCCTATGTGTATCTTCACTCACTCACTGGAAAGATACTTTTTGGTGCATTTATAAAGTAGACATACAGAAGCCCATTCCAGCTTAGCCTACCAGTTCCTCAACCTGACCCTCTTAAATCTAAGGATTTTTCCAGGAGGCTAGTGTGAGTGCATGTTTTCACGTGTGCGCTCAGGAATCCATGAGCTCATATTTTGTTTTCATGGGCTGCCAGAGAGGATTCTGCAGGAGCAATATAGAGGATTCTGTGATTTGTCTCCGTAACGTTTGGCCTTACAACAGTGCACTATCTGATCCTGGCTATGTGTTCATGCTTCAGGAGGATGAGATCTCAATGCCACTCTCATTGGAAACATGTAGTGCCATCAGGGGTGAGCAACATCTTTAGTCGAACAGAAGTCCAATTGTTTTTATTTTAGGTTTCCGAAGGTTGGTCATAAGTGCCTCATTTGAAGCTACCTTTTGCAAACTTTTTCAGTGCCTACAATGATTGTTGTAAGATTGTGAAACACGTGGCTTGACTTATCAAGAGCTTCGGGAATTCTATCACATATGTCAAGTGATTTTGTCTCCCTGTCCCTTGTCACTTACCATCTGAAGTGAGGGTGCCCTGTGGGGGTGGTGGGATTCCCAGCGGGTCGGGCGTTGGAGCGTCCATTCGTGATCCTCTAGGAAATGCTCGGTTGTTGTTGTCTCTCTGAATCTCATTGGTGAAGCGGTTATTGTTGGCCGGAATACTCTCCGGTACCACCTGAACCAGCGGAGGCACGGCCGGCAGATCTTGACGTCCATATCCACGGAGACAGCGCTCCTCCAGGGCGGAGATGAGCACCGATTGGTTGTTGACTGTGGCAGCAAGGCCTGCGAAACGCAGCTCCAACTCTTTGTAACGGGAGGCCAGTCGGAGCATCTCCGTGGTGACGTTCAAAATGCGGTTCTCCAGCTGCGCCAGTTCTAGGGAGTTGTCCCTCTTGCGGATGATTTCGTGAAGCAGCTGCATGTAGAGCTGTGTCACTCTGGAATTCATGTTACGAGACTCTTTGCGTAGAAGCTTCATCTCATTTACCAGGTTCCCGTCCACGTCTGCCACTAGTTGCAGCATTTCAATCTCCCGTCGCTGCTTGGAAAGGACCTCCCGCACGTCAGCAATGTCCATACGTGTCACCCGGTCTTTGTCTGGTTCAGGTCCGGTAGCAGAGGCGCAGATCGGGCCTGTGATCTTCTGCTGGGGCATCAGGAAAGTGTAGGAGCATTTCTTGGAGTCATCGGCAGGTGCTCGCCGTTGACGAGATTGCATTAGTTCCATTCCTGAGTGGCACTTGCTGAGCAAGCAGATGGAGAGGCAGAGAATGATGCCCATGCACCATGTTACACATCTCATGGTTGCTTCTGTTATCACCTCACCTACTTTTTGGTTGCTTTTTTTCTTCTGTTTACTCTTCTCTGCCTCAACCTCCCGACAGTGGCAAATCCAATTATTCACCTGTAAAGAGAGAGAAAATCAGCCGCCAATCAGTAATCTTGCACATCCTCGATTTACCTATAAAATCTGTTTTATTTTTTCCCAAATTCCGTTTTTTCCATTTTAAATTTTTGCAAATTCCGTTTTTTCCGTTTTAATTTTTGGGAATTCAGTTTTTTTTTTTTTACCCTTTACTGTTATTTTAGTTGTAAAAAGAGCTTTTAATGTTGCTTTTAATGTTAATGATTAAAATGTACAGAAATAAAATAGGCATTTACTCTTAAAATCACAAATACTGCATGATGCAACATAACACTGCACTCAAGTACTTCAAGTAACAACAAAATATAGTTATGAGCTTTAAACTGTCCTGTAAAATAAATTATATTAGTTTATATAAGTTAAAATAAAAGTCCCAATCTAGCTGTGTCGTAATGTGCATACTATCCATCCTAAATAGTATGTGACATTAGTAACTGTCAATACTATTTCGGGCATAGTATGCACATTGGGACGCATCTTCTGTCTCTCGCGCGCACTGTCGAGCGCTTTCTCGGACACACTCGGTCTCTCTCGCGCGCACTGTTGAGTGTGCTGTCTCGTAGTCTCTCGCGCGCGCTCTCGACTCGGACACACACACTCCGTCCGGCACCTCATAGACAGACGTGCGCGGAGTTTGTGTGTTTGTGCGACGAGTTTCTTAACTTTTTTGCCGACGAAAGCAGAGCCGTGGAGAGCCGCTTCGCCATGCTTTCAGTGGAAACGCTGCTATTGTTTTGATGCCATCATGAGCTGAAATGACGGGAGGGGTTGTGTCGCCCAGATTTGCTTCCCCGTCTCTCTGCATTTTCCCCAGACATATGTTCTTCTCCCACACAAAAAACGAATTTCATTCCAAATATGTAAAATTCCGCGTTAACACTAGATTCCGCGTTAATTGGCCAATTATAGGGCCCTACCTTTCAAAACGTTTGTTTTGTCTTACACATTGCATTAAATATTTCTGTTCTAGACACATCGACAAGGCCGAGGTATTTTTGTCTCTTTCAATGTTAATGGAATGCTGCCACGAAAAAGTATGTGTATTAGCAGTTCGGCATGTTGTACAACCTTTACTCCTTCTGTTCTCACAGGCACCCTGGTGCTATTCAGCCTTGTCTCAGACACTTAAATCAAACACACATTGGATGCTTCACATCATCCACTAACACTAACACATGCCCATGTCCAGATGTTTCAGATCCTTTGCTAACAGATCATCACTCCTATGATGTCATCACCATGGCATTTTATACACAAAACCCATCTTCAGTGTGGACTTTAACCATTCTCCCACCCTAACTCCTGCTCTGTAACTCGCTACCCTTTTCAGGGAACAGGGTTCAGTGGATAAAATTCCTAGGTGCTCTTACATCCTGCTGTGTTTCCCACTCTAAAGAGTTCAGTATTTAACAATCTCCCACTCTGAGTATCCCAGCATGTCTTCAGTCTTTGGCATAGCAGTACTCTCCGGGAGCTGCGTTAGGCTCCTTTAATCCCAGTATCACCTTTCCCTCCATGCTGAGCTCTGCTTTTCATCAACACCTAGATGTGCTCGCTCCGGGTTCCCCTCCCTGTTTATACAGACACATTTTTCAGTCAGCAATTCTGCCAGCTTAGCTGTTGCGAGACCAAAGATGTGTCTGCAGATACAAGGTCTCTCCAACATCAGCTCCACTGGAACACTATATTGTCTCTCTAAGAATGTTGCTGACATTTTAATTGGAATGAGAGTTGGATTGAGAGTGTTACTATGACCCATAAGCACAACATTTGATATTGGAACATGTTGGAATCTGTGAATCGGTTTCTTGTCCGAAAGAACCAGATTTATAAGCAGTTTCCCTTTCCTTTACTTGTTTAACTGAACCAGGTCAGTGGCCTCTATAGAGTTTTTTATTCTGCTCTCTCCCTCAGTTGCTTTATTTTATAACTTTGTTCAATATAACTTTATATGTTGTTTGCTTGAATGCTTTACCGCCTGGTTCTGACTGAATGTAGTCCGTAATCTAAAGCTAACCTATGCTTAGGGGTGGGTTTCAAAACGGCTGGCTCTGTCTTTCAAAACATAAAGTGGAATGAAAGCCACAGCCAAAAGCAGCCTAATCGGCTCTGAACTAATCGTACACGCTGGAGCAGTTTGACACTGCAGGCTACAGGCTTTGAGAAGCATGATGTGTGGAGTGAAGAGATTAGAAAGTGAGAATTGTGTAAGACAAGGTTTTAAGGAAAAGTCTGGGCAATAGTGGAGAAAGTGGGTCGCATACATAATCGTACTTCTGGCTGGTCTGCCAAACAAGACACCTGGCCTTGAACCTGACTTCATGGGAAAAGAAGATTTTGTGCTGTCCGGAAACCTGATGATTTGTCTCCATTTGTGTCTGTCTTCATTTTCATCACTTTCTCTCACTCTCTACTTGAGGGACCTGACTTACTCAACCTAATTATCTCGAACTATTAATGGACTCTAAGTCAACTGGATTCCCTCCTGTCATTTTTCACAATCACACAGGAAAAACAATTCAAAATATTTTGGCTTGGGCGTAGTAATGGGCAGCTAACATATCCAGAACAGATGTGAAAATGTCGGCCAATGCCAAAACCGAACAATTCAGCACATAGCGGTTCAGATGCTAACTTGAGGGATTGAGAGGAAAACTCTTACCTTCTAATTTGCTTATTTTTCTCTCCCTCCCTTCAGCCATAAAACGGAGGGCTGCATTTGTCTCCATTACGCAGTCTCTTGACCTTTCGCCGTCACTAATAAATAGTTATAGACAGCGAAGGTATGTGATTGCTTGTGGGCTACATAAGATGTGAATGTGCAATTCTGCTTTTGATTAACGTAACATCTCATTTAACTGTTTTTAATTCCTGTAGCTTAGCTAGTAATGTGTTGCGCAACCAATGCCAAGGCCATGGGTTCGATTCCCAGGCAACACGCAATCTGTGTGTATTTTGACTTGTATATTTGACTTTCACGTTTGGAAAAAGCAAGAGTCTGCCAAATGAATAAATGGAAATATTAACATTTTTGTCAGTTGTTACAACAGTTTTCAGTATAAATGGTTTGCTCCTCTGAGCTCCCTTCGCACAAGAGCTGTCAATAGTTAGGATAACCAGTTAACTGGCAAGCTTAGGTTAATGTAATTAGTGTTTAAATGTGGATTTTTTTCAGCTTTTTTCTTCTCTCCACTGCTCTATGGTGATCCCAATGGCTCCCTATCCTTTCCCCATCCATCTGAGTAATACAGCTCCACACTCTATACAGTCTACTCAGTGTTCCCAGGGTTCATTTCATCATCCTCTTTTAGCTTTTGTTGTGATGTATGGACAGCTGTGATCCTCTACTGTTCCAGCCAATTGGCTCTTCTTGTGTTGTTAATAGCAATAATTCATAGAGCTTCCAGAACGGCTTCCAGACTGTTCTGATACCCTTGGGTTCCTCTGATGTTTTTACGAAGTCAGTATCACTGTTATGATGTCACCAACAAGTGTAGCACATGAACATTTAATCCGTGTTCTTGTTTTCATTGGGTTTGACTCTGCGAACATCAGTCATGCTGGTTGTCAGACTAAATCCTAGCAGTTCCACTGCATTGGGCATTGAGTTGTTTTTTGTTTTGTTTTTTGCATTTAAAAATTTGAGGCGCAGTACTGATCATTGGAAAGAACCAAGGATCTTGACATGCTATCCTAAAACAAGGCGCTCATGAACGAGACACTGAAAAAGCTGCAAGACGTTAACTGTAAAAGACACCAGCCCATTTTGCAGCTAAAAAGCTAAATCAAACAAGTTCTTTTTTCCAGCTGTGTTTGTTGTATTTCTTTAGGAATATGTACTAATGGATGTCTTTGACATTGCAATGTATCTTACAACTTTATCAGCGTCTCACATCATCAGTGCCTAGGTTTAAGGAGTAGTTCACTTTTAAAAAACTTTTGCTGATAATTTACTCACCCCCATGTCATGTAAGATATCCATGTTATTCTTCAGTTGAAAAGAAATTAAGGTTTTTGATGAAAACATTCCAGGATTTTTCTCAATATAATGCTCTTCAGTGGGAACCAAACAGTGCAAGGTCCAAAACACAGTTTCAGTACAAACTATTCAAAGGGCTTTAAACGATTCCAGACGTTGAATACGGGTCTTCTCAAGCGAAATGATCGTTCATTGAGGAAAAAAAAAAAAAAAAAAAAAAAAAAAAGTTAAAGTTTTATAAGCTCAAATGGTCGCCTTGCTCTGTTCTGTGATTCATGACTCTCCTGTTCGAACTCGTTCATCAAAATTAACTAATCTTTTTTCATGTCATTTGGTTCATTGAACGAACGAAATGAACGAATTGACTCGGGAAAAGATTTGTTCATTTTGATGAACGAGTTCGAACAGGAGAGTCACGAACGAGTCACAGAACAGAGCAAGGCGACCATTTGAGCTTATAAAACTTAAACTTTGTTGTTATTGTTTTTTATGAGCGATCGTTTCGCTTGATAAGACCCTTATTCATCGTCTGAAATTGTTTAAAGCGCTTTGAACAGTTTGCACTGAAACTGTCTTTTGGACCTTGAACCGTTTGGTTCCCATTGAAGTCCATTATATGGAGAAAAATCCTGGAATGTTTTCATCAAAAACCTTAATTCCTTTTCGACTGAAGAAAGACTGACATGGACATCTTGGATGACATGGGGGTGAGTAAATTATCAGCAAGTGAACTACTCCTTTAAAACGTGTAATTAAAAGTTGAACTTTTAAAAGTACATCTCGATACCACTGCGATCGGTTCCATTGTGTCTTTCTCTTTCTGGTCGCAATAACGTATACTGTGTGAACAACCCTATGGAATATCATAATGGAAACTGCTGTACAAACAAAACTTGGTTAAACAGGGTCCCTGGGTTTTGTAGTTCATCACAGAAATCATCTTTTTCTCAGTCCTGTTTTTTTCTCAGTTATCCATCTTACAAAAACCCAGAAGAAGGGT